TTGAAATTAGGTTGATAATAATAGCGGTAGTTTGCTTTCAGTGCTCGCTGTCTCGCCATCCAACAATGAAATTCACATTTTCCAGTGGAAAGATGGGCAGTGGCGGCTGATGGAGCTGTTGGCTGAGCATGATTTACCGATAACTGGTCTTGACTGGGCTCCGAAAACCAACCGTATTGTTTCGTGTGCTCAGGTATCTTCATTTAAGCCCAAATCCCGAGAAACTAAGCTCAGATGGCCACTGTTGAGTTGTTTTGTTGCTGTTTCATCGTTGTGTTTCTTCTTACATTCGATCCAGCAGTGTTTCCCTCTGTTCTAAGTAATATATTTTTAGTTCGGGCCGAAAGACTAATAGGCTTGCGTAATTTCGCCGAAAAATCCACCTTCTTTGCGTTTTTTCTGACATCTTTGCCAAACGCAGCTGTTTTTTACTTCGCACTGGCCTCACTAATACGGAGAAAACATAATCACTTCAGGAGCATCATAAGATTCCCAGTTAATGAGTATCGCTGCCAACGTCTGGCCACGCTCTTCGGAATCCTCGTCTAATTTCGCAAACCATCTGTAACACTTCCTCGATTTTCTAACTTATAATGTAGGAATTTTCGTAGGATAAGAATGCATTTGTTTGGACATTCGACGGCTCTCACTGGAAGCCAGAACTTGTCATTTTGCGGATGCATCGAGCGGCAACATGCATAAAATGGTCTCCATATGGTTTGTTTTAGCACTTTGAAATTTTAAAAAAAGTTTTGTAATAAAAATGCATCTTAATTGTTGCAAATTTCACGATTCAGTCGGTTGATTCTGTGGAGTGCTGCATCTGTTTGTGGCAAGCAGTATGGATAATGAATTGTGTCTGGAAGAACAGCCTTCAGCAACAAAACGCCCATTCCCATGCCTCTGTAAATTATGGAACTCAAACACGGCTTACCAGTAAAACGAAGCTGAATAAGATAACTAGCATTTTGCACCAAAATCGCCAAAACCGTCAATTTGAAGACAATTTCACTGTAATGCACCTACACACCCGTCCTTGGCAATATCATTCTTTGATGCAGAACTGCTCGAGCATTAACCTTATTCATCTCACTCTGCCGGTTATAAAAACTGTAGTGTGTAAATTAAAAGCAAATGAGGATTTTTTCTAGAATTTTTGGAATAGCTGTAATTCATAGCCCGGTTCCCCCAGTTTCTCGTGCTGAGGAGCTCTTCATCACGACACAGTCATTTTGACAAGGCTTCAGCCGTTTCGGGGATGTGTGTTGAGCATTACCAGCTCGTCCTGAATGTTGCCACTTGTAGACCACCAGGAGGTGCTGTACCATTTAGGAGAGCGAGGACACTGAGGAGCAGAACAGCACGGAATTAAAAATATTTACGTGGTGTTTCCCACCGATTTTTCTCTTTTTGAATGAATTCACATTCATACGAATTTTTTCTTGTATGCGAGTAAATTTATTAAAGAGAACAAATTTGCTGTTGGAAGTGGCTCGAAGCTCGTGTCAGTGTGT